TCTCACGGTCTCGCGACGGCGTGAGCAGCGTGGGGATACATGCCGTCGCTGTCTCATGTCCATCTCGCGGCGTGGGGACATGTGCTATCTCCGTTTCGCGGCGTATTAGGAAGTGTGAAGGCGCATGTTGAGTTGGTCTTCGGCCACGGGAACCTTAGTGCCTGTACAAACGCCTTCTGCGCGCATCAAATAGGGTTAGTTAGCCGTATGGCGACCGCCTCTGCCGTCACAAGAATCCGCTGAAATGATTCGCCGGCACTTTATACATGACTCGAAACGCTTAACTGACGTCTACTAGATGGCCATTGTCAACCAAGTGAGCCGAAACCGCGCTAGATATTGACTTTACTCGCCTCGGTTTAGCCAAGAAGGATGGTGTTCTCACATGCGCTTGGGTAATTGCCTAGTTTTTAGACCAATATAGCCTGCCTCGCAGGAGCAAGTAAAGGTGTAGATGCATATTGAAGAGGTCTGGAACGGGAGTCTATCCTTACCTTCAAGGCGAAGAAGTGGAGTGTTCGAAAATACTAATCTTGGCTGTTTGATACATGCCAGAATATTAGCCAACCTTAAGCGGCTGTTATAAATGCCCGCAGTTGTTTCGTGGAAATGTGTGGCATGTTTATCTACATTTTCTCGTAGCCGGTCTTGTTTTACTTCTCTGTCGTGTTGGTCCTTGGGAAAACAGTCAGAGCGCCAGATCGGGTCATGAGAACATGCGTGAGCGTTGGACCATGACGGTGTTGACATTTAACTGCCCCCCGCTGGGGCGTCTGTGCTGACCACCCTCCCTTCCCCTCTGAGACATGGATCGAATCGGACACTACGGTATGGTGTGATCGCCCCCCAACGCAAAAGGATTATATGTGGGGGAAGGGAGGGGGGCTGGCGGAGAGGGGGCGGGGGAACACTGACTCGGCTCTGTCTGTTTGCGTGTCCTGAACCAGTCTGGAATGCCCCTTGTCGCAGTGGCCGCAGATGCGCACTGTAGGGTGGGGGTATACGTTTGCTGAAGTCGAGGTAAGGCGCCACAAGTGGCGCTGACTTCGCTGTTATTGCACTGTGGTCACGCGGAGCCGCTCAAACCTGCCGCGCCATCGCTTGCCATCGGCCTGGATTGCGGATACTCAGGTAGAACTCGATTCCTAAAATGCTGCGTTTTAAAAAATTGAGGTTTCGGTCAATCGACAGGGGCGTGGATGAAGCTGGCACCGAATAAGAAAAAAACCTGCACAAACAAAAGGATGATAAGGAGGCATAAAACAGCATTTTTCATTAATTGATAAAAAAAACCTTCCTAAGCAAAGTACCTGGAGTATATCCGGACATGGCCCAGAAAAGAAAGTGGTTCTTTCGAGTATTGCTTCTCCAGTGCTGACGCGAGTTCTAGGTTGGCCATAGCGTAGTCATAACAATCCGAACCCTTGGCACCAGGTGACAGTAATCTGCCAGGGCGTGCAAAAATAACCCTCCCATGCGCCGCAATGCTGTGTGCAACCGGCAAACGCTACCAAAGACCGAACCCCTGCTACGTCCTCGAAAAACTGGTACTACTGGCTTTTATATTAGTTTACTGTTGCTGACCATGGCCAACAGAGAGAGGGGGGAAGGTAATATCCAAAATTTTCATCCAAAATGGCTCCGTGCACGGAGAGTAACGGATAAGGTAAGGTAAAGGTTATATAATGCTCAAAGTTAAAGGTTAACACGATATCCACATCTGTTATAGAGACGGGTTCGCTTTCAACTTCTCAATTTCTGCTTCTTCACATGTGAGGTAGCGTGCTAGGAATGGGAGTACAGAGTGTTGATATGCCAATGTACGGCAAGACATATGACGGAAGCTTCGGCGCATAGTACGGAAAGACTTCGCAGCCGTTAGCTCAGAGTGGAGAGGGTGAGCAACCTCACTAAGGATGTGAATCAGAAATTGCTTGACCGTTTTAAAGTGTCGCTGTGTTATAATGTCAGCTAAAAAAAAAACAGGAAACACCGGTAGCTAAAGAGGGCATTCAGAGGATACGTTTAACAATGGCCAGGCTTTTTTATGTCAAGCTGGAAAATAGCCGGAGAGCAGCAAAGAATAAGGGGGAAAAAGCAGGCATCTTTAAATCGCCAGATTAGGGATTGCGGTGTGCGATATGAACGCAAACGGCGGATATAATATAACAGTTTACAGATTTTCATAAAGAGGCCTCCAATATGAAGAGTAAATAAGAGGTTAGATGCAGAGAAACATAAAAGTACCGGAAAGAGGATACCTCATTGGGTAGAAGGTCAATGGATTCAGGACTGGCAGAGGGTCGCAATCGAAAAACACACTGGAGTGACTATTACTTTACTCAGACGTAAAGGTAGAACTGGAAAGAATGAAACTGGATGAAACTCATCACCAACTCGAGGTGGTGCCTGAAGACTGTTGAAAGTAGTCAGAGCTAGTTGCATTCGTTCTAAATTCATGCACGGTAAATCGTATAGCCGGTGTTTTTGAGGAACCCTGGAAGTTTTTGCCTTTTAATTTCCTTATAAATAACTGCGCTAACTTGAAGTAAATCATTCGGAATAAAGGCCTTCAGGTTCATTCCGAAGGCTGATATGCATATTTGAGCCAGTGGCTTTAGCGGGACCGTCGCTTAATAAGCATATGCTGCCGGTAGGCAGTCAGTAATACATTTAACCCTGAAATGTTAAATTACTTTCTGCAGTTCACTCTAGCGGGATATTTTATGTTGGGGCCTCTACACCCCCCGTCTATACCTTAACTGGCAATTTGTTTAGGTACTAGCAGTACCGCACACGAAAGCCCTAAATCCAACTTGACTTTGTTTCTAGCCCCCTGACTTAATTTACTTGCGTGTTAACGCTCATTCGCCTTCCTTCCACCTCTCCGTTCCCCTCTCCATCTTACCTTCTGCGGAAATGTTTGATTAAGTCTTGGCATAATAGTAAATCATTATGCTCTTACCTACAGCCTGTGCTAATATGGTTAACCTTTATTTCCGCTAGCCTGCTACCGTCTCGCGCTGCGGTATGATCTACATGGAACCCTTGGCACTGGGCTGGCGTCCACTGGCGACTTCGTGGCTCCAAACCATGCCAGAGGCTCTTGCCACCGGCGGTGGACGTGAGACCCTCGAGTGTCTCTTTGAGTGGTGCTTCGACCCCTGTCTGGACTTTGTGCGACTGCAATGCAAGCAGATGACTCCCGTCAGCCCAATGTCACACATCGTCTCCACTCTAGGCTTCATTGAAATGATGGTTTTCGACAAGGCCCGCGAGGAGGATGCCATGGACAATCGCTACCTCAAGGGTTGGTCCTACGCCTCCCTACTGTTTGGTATCATCTGGGGCATTGGTGGCTGCCTGGACTTTGCCAGTCGGATCAAGTACGATGCCTACGTACGCCAGCTGTTCATGAACCAGATTGAAGAACTGCCCGTGCCGGAATGCGTGGGTGGGCGCATCGATTTTATGATGTCGGAAAGTGGCCTAGTCTACGACTACTGGTTTGAGGTAAGTGTGTTAA